CTCTCTATCTCTATCTCTCTCTATCTATCTATCTATCTATCTATATGAGAGGGAAACACATTTAGAAATAGTACATGATGACTAGATTCCAAATAAGATATCAATGCATCTGGGTGGAAAAGTGATTGCTGTGGTGGTTGTTTAAAATACTCTCTCTCTCTCTCTCTCTCTCTCTCTCTCTCTCTCTCTCTCTCTCTCTCTCTCTCTCTCTCTCTCTCTCTCTCTCTGAGAGGGAGACACATTTAGAAATAGTACATGATGACGAGATTCCAAATAAGATATCAATGCATCTGGGTGGAAAAGTGATTGCTGTGGTGGTTGTTTAAAATACTCACACACACGCAAGCACACAACATCCGCTCTTGGAGACCCGTGCCATCTTCAAGCATCACCATTTTTTTCTAGCTTGGAAAAGCAGGTTCAAGGCCTCACTTTTACACAGCTTCAGCCTTTCACCTGAGTTTTTTGAACTTTTTCCTGATTGTGTGTGCAGGCCGGATCAGGAGGAATTTTGTGTGCCATTAATTTATGTGGTTCCACCTGGACCACCTGTACTCCAAGTTGGATTTCAAACCTTGACCTAGGATCCCCAAACAACGACTTCCGTTGACTTGCGGATTTGACTGCACAGGCATAGTCTAAAATGGTTCTAGAACCAAAAACTGCCAGCCAGATTTGAACCTTGCTTTCATAGATTCCGCCCAGAATTCAATTGTTGAGATGCCATGGAAGTTCGGTCAAGCCTCGCCATGAGCACCAAATAGGTGCTTGATATGTCATTGGTGCTTGAGCTCTCGGGAGAAAACTAGAAACTTCAAGGTTGTGGTAAATTGTCCTTCCTAGTACCTACCTTGGATGCATGAGTGAGGATTGACAAACAAGTCAAGCTGATTGCTAAGGTAGTCAAAGTCAACTTATGTGCATCATGACTTCTATGCGACTGGACTTGGGCCCATGGGCAAGGGTGCGCTATAGGTGAGGGCAGCGTCAAGGGGACGGTTGGAGTAGTGGCAGGTTGTGTTGGCTGTGTAGGCGTCATGGGCAGGCTAGTGATAGAATGCGGGCATGAGAGAGCTAACTTGCTGCACAAAGGAGTGGATGTGGAAGGTAACCATTTTTGTAAGTATGAATGTGATCCTGTTTGCCCAGTGATGCACAGAGCGGTGGATGGAAGGGTTCCCCCCCCCCAACCCCAATCATACGCTGTTTCTTTCTCCCCAAACAGTTGTTGCCACCACTTTTTCTTCCTGTCCCCTCTTCCCCGCCCTCCCCCTACTGTTTTCCCCTCCCTGAAGTTGCCTACCATCTTCCCTCGAACATAACGCATATCTGTTATGTTCGGGTGGACTGCAGCAACTTTTTGGACACAAGGGGGCCGGGTCCAGGCTTAGTAGGCTCAGTTCTGGCCCATGGCAGAGGGCCCCACAAACAGAGAAAGATGCGGTGTTGAATCGTTCCGTGTTCTAACCGAAGATTCGTTCTCTTTTACTACGTGGGGCCGCGCTCCACTCCTCACCAAATATGCAAAATGAGAATGGATCTTCTGCTAGAACATGGAAAGATGCGACGCCATATTTTCTGTCGCGCAGTGGAGCCAGGCCTGGCAGAGTGAGGCGCGTCCCTCCTGGCTTCACGCTGCCAGTTGGCTACACGTTGTCAGATAGGGCGGGAGACAGCGAAGCAGAGCGCAGGTCACGCAGAGAGAGAGAGAGAGAGAGAGAGAGAGAGAGAGAGAGAGAGAGAGAGAGAGAGAGAGGGCGAAGGCGAGGGCACTACGGGTGAGTTCACTTTTCTTGATTTTCCCGATTCTTGCTGCGACTGTCACTACGTGTCGAAAAGACAAAATAGCCGTGTACCTGTTCATGTTCTCGTTTTGCAAATCTGGTAAGTCGTGGGTGGATTGTCCTTTTCTTTTTTGTTCACTCACTTCTTGGGGATATAATGCGTATGCATCCAAAGAAATGTATGCCTCTTCCCCCTAATGTAAGGCACCATTATCCCGGAGAAGGTGCTAACCTCAAAAGAAAAGAAAAAAAAAAGTGTTCTATTCTAGACTACCAGAATGACCCAGGACAACTTGCCCGGCCGGGCTCAAAAAAAAAAGGAAAAAGAAAAGAAAAAGGAAAAAACAAAAAACATATATATATCGTCACAAATATATATATCGTCAAATATATATATATATTTGACGATATATATATATACAGGCTTCGGGTTCGGACCTCCGCCAAAACTTATTTCGGGGCCTACAAATAAGTTTTTTTTTCTGAATTGTTTTTTGTGAGTTCTCTATGATGTGAGGTACATGCTTATAAATTTTGAAGTCATTTTGCTAAGCCAAACAAAATTTAAAAATCGCGAAAGATGGCGGTGCAATAACCCATGCCATATGTCTCGTGGAAAGACTGAGGGCCAACTCGGCCGCCCTCAACCCAGGCCGAAAACAGGGGCAAAGACCCCAGACAGTTGACTTTTGTCAACTGTCGTGACACCAACAGTCAAAGTCCAAAGGTACCCAGTCCAGGCCGCCGGTCAAGCACACACACTTGTTTGTATGCAGGTACCTAGACAACATAAGGTCCAAGGGGAATGTCTGCAACTGTACGATCCAGGCCTTCGGCTGTGACTCAATCTGGACGACTGAGGGAAGGAGACTCGAGGCCAGAGAGTCTCGCGAAATGCTACTTAAAGACTGGCCTCGAGGTGGTCAGCATTCAGTCTTGCTATGCTACTTTGACTCTGGCTCGACTTTTGAGTAGACGCTGGCTTCATGCTGGCGCGACGCTGGCTACATGTTAGCTGTGCTCAGGTGTTGCGGACGACTGCACTGGTGGCGCTGCCTCTGATCTTTAAGGCATGCTGATGTGGCGCTGCCTCTGGTCTTCATGGCATGCTGATGTGGTGCTGCCTCTGGTCTTTAAGGCATGTTGATGTGGCGCTGCCTCTGGTCTATATGGCATGTTGATGTGGCGCTGCCTCTGGTCTTCATGGCATGCTGATGTGGCGCTGCCTCTGGTATACATGTCATGCTGCCGTGGTGCTGCCTTTGGTATATGTGGTGCTATTATTGGTCTTCATTGATGATGTGGCATATGACACCTGTCTAGATTGCTGATGTGGCATTGTCCACGCTGACTGCATGAGGTGACTGGTTGCGAGGAGGAGGAAGATCGGGATTTGTGGATGTATGGAATTGGGTACTCACCTGTGGTTGACGTCGTCACTGAAAATCTGTTGAGACTTCAGGGTCGTCATGAGATAAGTGCCACATGGCACTATTGTGTGTGTTCAGGAATATACTTGTTATCATTGACGAAGTGATGTGGGAAGAAGCCCGGAGGAGGAGTGGGATCTGAAGAGTTATTACTGAGAGATCTTTCTTCCTCTCCTTTGTCTATTCTCCCTCTACTCTCTTCTCTTTTGGTATTGAGTTACTGTTTGAGATATCACTTCATGTTCTGGAGACTTTCATGCAGATATTGAAACTGACGTGGTTTGACGACAACTGAGTACATACCAGACTGGGTTCATTGCAAATTGGTATCAGAGCAACTCCTCATCGCGATCTGCTGTTTGTTGTCAGGTGCTGACGTGGCACGGAGGTAAGTGGGAGGTGCCGCATGTGCAATATGAAACGTGTTTATTAACGCGCGCGGTCATACCGCAAGTCTAGACATAGAGCACCTGCGAGCGACCATCACTTGAAGATGATGACGAAGCTGCATTGAAGATTTCCAGATACCAGCGAGAGTTTTGTTGGCAATGTGCTGACGTGGCGCTGGTACAGAGAGAGAAACTGGTATTGCTGATAAGACATATTATTTATGATTGGTTGATGTGTTGATATAGTTCGCCAGTGTTGAGAGTGTGACAGGTCTGTGCTGCTGACGTGGCATCCCCCCCCTTGTAGACCTATCAGGTCCTTGATTTGCTGACGTGGCAGACTCTTCGAGTTGTTGTGTTGGCATGCCAGGGGTGACACGTGGCATGCAAAGACTGTGTTGAGGATTGCATTGTTTCTGCAGATGGTATAGTAGGAGCTAACCATTGATTGAATTGTTGTGCTGGCTTTTTACTTACTGTTGTTTGTTTGTGGTTGCCGTGTGTACTCACAATGGTGTTGTTGTCTTGATCACACAAGTCGTGGTTGTGGTACCTGTAGCTGTAGAATGTCATCGCACAGGAAATAGACAGTAAAGTTAGGACAAAGAACTTGATGGAGAACTCATTCCTTTTGTTCATTCTTGCTGTAAAAGTTGCGTGTACTGTGAAATTTATTTCTGTCTTTTAATTTTATTTATTGTGCAGTAAAT